TAGTACCTGTTTCAACACGATGGAATTCATTTCACGACGCTCTGTCCAGGATCACTGACATTCCCCTTGCTGAATTAAATACTGTCTGCACTCAGTTTGGAATCAAATGGTCGGGAGTATCTGTTCCTAAAGGAGTACTGTATCGTGTTGAAGCCACTCACTGTTGCACTATTGCAAGGAGAAGAGAACTGCTATTTTGGAATCCTTCTTCCAACTCTGGAGATTCTAATGTCCAGGATGCTGGCACTGCAGAACGAGCTTAAGATGACAGCATCCCTCCCCGATATCATTGTTAAGGTAATCTATATATAGCCTTACCCTAAAATAAATTTTTGTTTTATTTATCATGCTCTTATGTGAAGCGTCTGATGTATTTTTTTCTTATAGGCAATCAAGGTGCGCTTTTCTTCAATGATGGACAATAAAGAAGCTCTCCTGGCTGCAGTCACTTTGCCTAAATTTAAGTCACGCTGGATCAGAGAAGAAGAGAAAAAAGACATGGTTAGGGCAATGCTTACTACAGAGTGCCGTGGGTTGTCTCTTGAAGACCAACAACCTGCTCAAGATCACAAGAACCCAACCAGCAGAACCCAACAGGCTTGGAGGCTTTAAAACAAGTCTTTACAAACCAACCACCAGTTATCCCACAAACCAATAGCTGATGTTACAGCCACAACATATTTTTTTTAAAACCTTGTCCCTCTTTGGGGGGGATACCCCCACTGGGTTTAAATATGGGACTCTCTGCCATTTGACCTTAGAACTGAAGAAGCTTCTCGGATGAGAGGTGAAACGTCTTCAAGCAACTTAAAGAAGTCCAGACGCTTTTCTTTACAAGCTCCTTTGACAATGGTCAGCATGCTGTTTATTTTAGGACATTGTCTTGAGTAGTGTGGACTGGGTCACTTTCCAAAGGTGTGTCTATGAAGGTTCTCAGTCATCCAGGTCATCGTAGTCAAAGGAGATTGCAAAGAAAAGCGTCTGGACTTCTTTAAGTTGCTTGAAGACGTTTCACCTCTCATCCGAGAAGCTTCTTCAGTTCTAAGGTAAAATGGTGGGGAGTCCCAGATTTAAGCCTAGTGGGAGTATCCCCCCGCAGAGGGACAAAAGGACCCTCTGATGATCCTCTAATCGCCTGAGCCAAGGTGTGAAACTGGGTGTGGGTCCCAATCAGCCAGAGTTTCGGGTGAGCTCATTGTGAAACC